GAAGACACTAGTATGTTGCAGGATTTTCACCAAACTAGTTGCGCAGTGCTGCGGAGAGCGAACAGCTGGGCCGGTGAAGTTGTAGAAAAGTTGAATAAAAGAACGGTCAGATGTGGTTATGTAGCCGCACCTGAGGTGAACAAACCCCAGCCACCTGTAATACGGGACCGCTAGTCATAGGGGTTTTTACAGGTGGGGTCGGGTAACGCACAGTCGACGAGGCCAAGTAATTGTATGCAAAAGAAAAGCTATTGGGAATGCGCGGTTGTACTTTGAGTGGTTGAGAAATAGTTTTCCTAACCCTTAACCCTCAACCGCAGCCCTAAACCCTAACCCTGAAACATCCAAAGCAGAAGTCAGAATGAGACGACAGGCCGAAAGTAAAGAAGGACCACCGGCATTGGGCCAAAAAAGGTAGACACGACAACAAAGAAACAAGGCCGCCAACAGAACACGCACCGCAAAGCACAGCAACACCATGCCAACGTTATCACACCAACTCAAATTAATTAAGTAGGTCAGCAGTACTGTGTCCATCAGGCACGGCTACATAATTACATCTTACTGAAGTCTCTTTTCTCTTAGAAGTCAAGCAGATCGGTGTTCACCTGGTCCTGTGTGATCTGTCAAAACATGCTTTTCTGAGTCTGCTAGGGTCCGAGCCGACTCTGACGCCCGATGGCTCTCATCTCTTTAAGCAGACTAAATATCCTGCTTGGAGTGCCAAATATTTCTGCGCAAACGAGAGGAATCTACTTTCTAAGCACTCTCATCTTCTGGGAGGTTTTCATGAAGACGCAGATAAATTTTAAGAAGACCATTAGCTGGCTTGACTTCATCTTGCCATCCGAGTGCTGCGGGTTTGTGAAGATTTAGGGAGGAGTTCGCAGCACGAGCCTGGTTCACTACAAACTAAATCGCCGTCAATTCACGGCTGAGCCCAGCTCGTGGTCCACGACTTCCGAACGGTCGTATTGATGCCTCCTCAGACACTGAAACCTCCAAAGACTACCCCCACAGAAAATGTCCAGTCGAGCTCGATT